AAAATATGACACATGCTATTGACTAATAGTTTTGTTAATAAAGGAAATTAAAATACTATAAATGCATCCTATGGTTTGAATGACGTATATTATATCGTTAGTGTAAAGCTAATCTCCTATACATGTTACATTAATGGAAGTTTAATGTGTATTTTTTCAGCTTTATATATATATATATATCAAATTACATTGATATAATATTTATTAATTATTACACTGTCAATAATTTTTAATTAGATAATATTTTATTAAAATTTACTGCAAGATTAAAAGTTATTTTTTAATATAAATTACATATATAGAATTATATATTAACCTATTTGATAGATGATTCATATATATAAAAATTGATGTTTTAAATATATCAAAAATATGATTGACTTAATTTATATATGGTATAAATTATAGGCATCTCCTCTTTAAATGTGTTGTCACTCTCATTATCAATATTTACTATAACAAAATTTATTATTATCGATAATTATTTAACAATAATAAATTAATTATTTTTATTTCATTATTTAATAAAAATATTAATAACTAATATATAATAGTTACTAAATATATATCTACATCATATCAAAATTTACTATTAGCGATAATTATTTATTGGAAAAAACTTAAGTCTCACATCTACTAGAGAAAAGATAATTAAAGAGAGTATATAAGTGAATGATAACTCTCACCTTACAAGTTTGTTTTGTAGGGTTAAGTTAAACCTATAACTTACTATTCTAAGTTAGTATCAGATTACTCACCATTGTCAAACTTAATAGTACTAAACTTGAGAGAGTGTATTGGAAAAAACTAAGGAAATTAAAGAATATATAAGTAGAGGACAACCCTCATCTTACAAGTCCCACATTTCTTAAACTTTTACTGACAATAACAAAAAGGCTAAAACCTTAATTTAGTTCCTTATAATATTAAAAAAATTTCAATTTGGTCTCACTTTAATTTTTTGTTTCAATTTAGTCCCAATTTATTTTAAAATTTTCAATGTGAGACTTCCGTCCAAATTTCACAAAAGACGTTAAAGGTCCAAGAGAATCACGGGCGTAATTCTCACGGTCGAGATTCTCACCACCTCTTTTCGCACCTCTTAATCTCAGGTGATTCCCAGGTCGTGAAAATCACGGTCATGATTTGGAATCACGGGCGTGATTCTCTCGGATCTTTAACGCCGTTTGTGAAATTTGGACGGAAGTCCCACATTGAAAATTTTAAAATAAATTGAGACTAAATTGAAACAAAAAATTAAAGTGAAACCAAATTAATTTTTTTTAATATTATAAGGGACTAATTTAGGGTTTTAGCTTAACAAAAAATATTAAATGCTAGTAAAAAATATCACAAAAACTTATATATTTTTTCTGATTATTATAAGGTTCTTTATTAGTATGTAAAATAATTATCGATAAATATTTTAATAACATCGTATATAATGACTAATATAAAAATATTGATAAAAGATTTTACACTAATTTTTATTGTCACTAAAAGTCTATGTTGTTGTAGTGATATTTTATATCTCCTTTCCCTCCTCTATTAATCCTCACCATTGTTAACCTTCTTCTTGTAGACGTTGTCCAGATTTGCAACCACAGCGCATCTTCCTCCATCACTCCAACCAAATCCCCAGCCTCCCATGTCCCTTCCCCTTCGTAGATCTTAAAATAATAATAATAATAATAATAATAATAAAGCAAAAAGAAGAGGGAACAAATAACACAAACACATTGGGCCCAGCACCCCATCGACATTGAAAATACTATGCGTTAGAGAAATTTAAAAGACATATTACATCGGTAGTTTAACTAATATAATATACTTTTTTTCTGTATTGGTTCAAATGAAAATTCATCTAGTATATCCCTTTCTATATCGATTATATTACAATTGATGTATTACATCATATGTAATATAATTGACATATTTTCAAAAATATTATTACACTTTATATTACATTGATTATTAAACAATTAATGTAAAATATTCTGATGTGAAATATCAATTTTTCATTGGTATTCCCTTGATTTCTGAAACAAGTTGTAGTATATATTAGAATTTATTTTATGTTGGATTTTTTTTAGTAAGTATATCTATTATTTTTATCTTTTAAGCATAATTTTATAGAGATTAGAGAGAGTTTTTGTGAAAGTATTCTTGTAATTACAGGTCAATCAAAAATCTCTTTTCTCTTATATAATCTTTTATTATGAGTGGTTAAATTATTTATTGTTGGAGACTTTGTTGTATTCATGTAATATTCTGTGTTCTCATTCAATATATATTTTTATTCAGTTAATTGTTTTTACTTTGTACTTAATGTGTATTTTGATCAATATATGATTTTATAGTTTTAATTGAGGTTGAAAAACTCTTTTGGAATTATGATAAAAAGCTGATAACATTTATTGTCGAGGAACTGAGATAAATCTTATTAATTGACTTTTGATCATTGACCTTAATGCAAGATTATTTAACAATAATTACCGATGAATTGAGATTTCTCTTAAATAACATATAAATTTTTGTCTAAGAAATTAAGGTTTAAATATAATTGTAGCCTGTTGAATGAATTGTATATAACATTGTATGAAAATTAAGGAAGATTTACATGAAAAAGGCTAATGAAATAATCTCTGGCTCCTCTTATCATTATTTAAATTCAAATTCTTAATCACTTTGTTACATTCTTTTCTATAAATTTTTGTATTGCAATTTAAATAATTTTTAAATTTCTTTTATACATCTATTTAGTACTAGAATTATATTAAACAATTATAAACTCAAGTCTATGTTGATTTGATAACTTGAACTTATGTTCTCTTTACTATTTACAATAATTGTTATACTTGCCAAATTAGTTATCTTATCCAATAAAAATTATATTATAAAATAAAAAAATCATGTAAAATTATTTTAATAATAAAAAAATAAACTATTGAAAGTATAATTTTTATAATGTAAAAAATTAATTAATTAATAAGATTTTATTTAATGATGATTTGAAAATAATATTAATTAACAAAAATTAAATTTAAACTATAAATAATAAAATATTTAAGTCACTATATGTTGTTCGATAATATTTAAAAAAAAACATGAAAATTTATTTAGACAAAATTTAATAATACTAATTAAATTATATTAAAAAATATTCAAACGGTATTATATATGCCAAAACACTCAATAAACACTTCATACGATTATATTAACATACTATTTTTTTCTAAAAAAATAATATATAATCAAAAGAAGTGAAAAAAATATAAAAACAATTTTGCAAGAGGAAAAATAGATAATTAGAGTTTTTAGAAAACAAGATTGTCAACAAAATAAAACAGAGAGTAAGAGTATTTTACAATAAAATAAAAAGAAAATAAAATACATGTAAATAACAATATGTGAGACTCAAAATGAAATACTAATAAAAAAAAACTCTACATGTGCTCTTTGAATTAACTCTTCTAAAAGTTCTTTTTTTTTTTAAAAAAAAATTATTTCTTCACAAATTATAAACTACTTATTTTCTGCTTATACATATGTATTTCGCCGAACTTTTACTTATAAAAGAAATTAAACTAAACATAAATTAGCTCAAGACTCTTGATAAAACTATTTGCTAAATAGTTAATTTCATATATTTTATTGCCTAAAAAGGTTATAAACCTACGTTTACATTAAAATATAATGTAAACTTTTTTGTAAAAAAATATCTTTTATCTTATTTTATTTCTTTCTATATCTCTTTAATCACTTATCGTATCTATTATTTTGTCTTTCTTTTTTATTTCTTTCCACATTTGTTCTTCTTCCACCCAGTGTACTCTATAAATTTTAGAGTGAATGAAATATCATATATTATCTTGTGATGAATGTGTGGAACATGTTTAAAGAGGACAATGAAGAAAGAAGTGAATAAGTTCGGTTTTCCTAGGATCCTAGCTTGGATTTATAGTATGGTAGTGGCATCGTGGCCAGAGTAGTGTGGTCTCAAATCTAAGCAAGGGTTGGAGCTATATACAGTGTGATAACCCTATGACATCGTTTCCAAGACCTAGAAACGTATGTGATATGTAACTAATTTTTTAAGCTCACTTCATCTGACTACATCTAAATTCTAAAACCATGCACAAAACTATTTTTTTTTCTAAACCCATCCCCGAAAGCAATTCAAAAAATTAACTGGCTCCTTCAAACTGAAATGTAATAATCAGATAAAAAGCAAGTGATCGATATTGAAGAAAATTATAAGTTTCTAACTAAACTCGCATGTATTCATGACGTAATAACATGATCATATTCGTACGGCTTGTACTTTATATTAATCTTTAATGTTTTTTACAATAAAAAATGGATAAACAAAGAAAAAAGGAAAAGTATTAAAATATAATTAATGTGAAGAAAGTGTTATATAAAGTATTATAAAAAATATGTTATATATGTAATATAACTCGATTCATACTAGGGCTTTAATTACTTTTTAGATCCACATTTTTATTTTCAGCCGCTTTAGAAAAACGGCCAAGCAACCAAGTGAGGGCAAGCTTAATCTATACACAAATATCTAGCTAGTTATATTAATATATAATAATAATAAACTTCAAATAATTGGCCCCTTACGTACGAGATCCTCCAACCAAATTGTGTTGAATTATTTTTTTAATGAATAAATTGTATTGAATTGACTTCACCGCAAGACTGATTCAATTGTCTTTATATATTCACTGTCACACCGTCATTTATAACCCCAAATAAAGGCAAAAGTTGGGCAATGTATTTATTAGATCAGCACCGAAATGCTGAAAATAAACTATCCCTTCTCCACTCCCACTTGCTCTCATCATTTTGACTTTATGGTTAGTCAACCCAATTGAAATACTATTGCCAATTTGAACTTTGAAGCAAAAAAGAGAACACATTCAAAACACTACCCAACTGGTTACCATTTCATTTATCTATATAAAGCCAAACATTTGGTTAACATGTCTTCAAAAAAACAAAACAAAATCTCTTGACTTCCAATTAAATTTTAAAGTCACCCTTCATTCGTTCTTTTCTCATTGCTTGTTCTTCATCATATATCTATACCTTAGTTTAATTTCCTAGTTGAGTTGGTGTTGATGGATGAATTTGCGTCCTTGAGGAACTGGGATTTGGAAGCTATTGTGAGAGGAAGCACCGGTGAAGCCACCACCATGGATGATCCAAACCCTGATTTCTCTTACTTCTTCTCTGAACAAGATGCGATGCTTGATACCTTTCCCGAATTCTCAGAAACCACGAGGGTCCTTGATGATTTGGAAGAGCTTTACAAACCTTTCTACCCAGTTTTTCACCCTCTTTCACCACACACCATTGTTAAAACTTCCCTGCCTATCCCCATAGAACCCGAACAGGTCAAAGAACTCAAAGCATCAGAAGAGAAAGTAGCTCTACAAGGGTCAAAAGTTCCCGCAGCACCTAAATGCAAAAAAAGGTTTGTTATACCTAAACTAATTCTCCATTCACTATATATCAACTAATTATATAGTAAATATTTTTCTTCTTACATCGATATATATAACTGTTTTAAATATACATATGATCACATGGAAGAATTTCTGAATAACAGACAAAACCCTATATCATAGAATTTCTGTCTTTTCACTTGAGAAACTGTTAGGTAGTTTATAGTTTCGGCCAATCTTCATATGACATGTTTACCGAGAAAAAAAATTAAGAATACTTGATTATGTAAAGGCTGGTCAGGTAGTTAGGATCATCTATTCAAAGAGGTGTGAGTGGTGAAAAGTAAATAATGACATGGATGTGGTTAATTGTATGCAGCAAGAAGAGCCAGAACAAGAGTGTGGTGAAGCAGGTGACAACAGCAGAAGGTCTTGATGATGCATGGGCATGGCGTAAATATGGACAGAAACCGATAAAGGGTTCACCCTATCCTCGAAGCTACTATAGGTGCAGCAGTTCCAAAGGGTGTTTGGCCAGGAAACAAGTTGAAAGGAGCCACTTAGATCCTTCTGCTTTCTTGGTAACATACACTGCTGAACACAGCCATCCACACCCAACTCGAAGAAACTCTCTTGCTGGGACCACAAGGAAGAACAATACCATAGTTCCTCCTCCAACCACTCGTCACCAAAAGAATTGTTCATCAAGGACACCTTTGGTGGTGAAAGATAATGGACTTGTACCAAGTGTGCCACAATGCATGGACTTGAAGAAAGAGGATGATTTTCTTGAGTGGTTGGATGATGAAGGTGCTCAATTTGGTGATGGTTGGATTCCTACCTCCGATCTTGAGAAACTGATTGGACTTGAATGCCAACATTTTGCATTTGATGGCGGTTTCACTGATGGTTTTTCACATGCTTAGTTCCATTATGTAACTAATTAATGAATAGTGCAAACTTCTGAATTGATTTTTCTATTTTAAGGACAATTAATGTAGATACTGGCCACCCCAGTTCCTATTTAATCCTTCTCCTTCTCGATCGGTTTCGGGGGCGTTTTTAGTTGCTGTTGTGGTTATAACATTGCGGTTGATAGTTGATACACTGTAATTTGCGATGCGATGGTGAAAATTATAAGAGCCTTGATGTTGCAATAGCAATCATACGGATCTAAAACAATCACTTCTCTTTTTTCCTTTTTTTTTTCTGATTTCCATCTTTTATTTTGTTTCCACTCTTTAGTAATGAGTGAATATTTCATTCCTCAATCCTGAAACAAGAAATAGAATTGAATATTGACTACCAATTCTTGTACTACGTACTAAAAGAAATAATTAACTTCTTTGGAAATCCATTTTTGGGTGGTCTGATGCTATAATTTTGGTAAAATGTGTTATTTCCATATATTGAATTACAATCAATTATTATTTTTAATAACTATTTTTATTGTCTAAATCTAAGAAAATACGGATCTTTCATTCATAAATCTTTTTAAGTTAGATGTTGAGGAGTTAATGATTGATCTTTAAACGATTTTCAAGTCAGATATAATAGATTAAGATTACTTATATAAAAAGACTTGATGTTTAAGTTAATAAAACAAAAAATAAATGGCTAGGATTTAATTTTAAGTGATACTTGGTATGTGATGATACGTTGATAATTAGTTTCTTACTATCAAAGTTATCTTTAAGAGAGATCATCAAGAATTTTGAGCTATCCACATATCCTTGAAGGAATCCTCTTCCTGCAGTGTTAGTTGTTTTCGGCTTCTATTGTCTTGTATCGATAAGGAAAATTTTGACTTGGGTTGACTTAAGAAATTGTTTGATCTTGGCAAACACTTCTAGGATAGAAAAATGAAAAGAAAGAATAAAATAAATTTCTTTATAAATAAAAATTAGTTTATATATTAACTAACTTATAAAATTTTTCTCCTATTAACTTCTTCGAAATATTACTTTTAACTCATCCATATATAAGTTGATTTTATCTTATGATGAATTTTTTTTCTTCTATTTTTTATTTTAAAAGAAATTTATTTAAAGAGACCCCTTAAGTCTAGAACAATTGCCCCTAAAGGCTTGTTGTTGGGTTTCACCTTGTAGAGTCAACCACCTATTGTATTTTGTGTTGCCTGGTGAAGGTTTTAGTTCTCTTATAAAGTTATTAATTTATCTTAAGACTTATCCAACATTAAGCTTTACCTTGTAAGGTCACTTGTATTATATTTTGTGTTGCCTTGTAGTGGGTTTTCGACCATGAAGATTTTAGTTCCCTTTAAAGTTGGTCCATTTTAAGGGTTTTTGTCTGTTGAGAATTTATTGTAAAAAATTTTATGTTAATTTTGGCCCCTCACTTTAATTTTTGGTTTTAGTGTTATCCTCTAATTTCAAAAGGTTTCATGTTATTAGTCTCTTAAAATGTTTCTATTAAATTAAGTTGGTCCTTTTATTAAATTATTTTACTAATTTAGTCAACTTAATAACATGTGACAAATTGTAAGAGATGTTACATAATCCAAAATTAACACTATCAATATAAAAACTTGATAGAATAACGAAAAACTAAAACTTGTAAACTTATGGAACAAAATTAAAATAGAAAGACTAAAGTTCTATTTTTGCTTTGAAATATAAAATGATGCATAAATTTTAGAAAGAAATATTAAACATACTTTTTATATAACATTTATAATTTAAAAATGAATAATGTATAAAAAGTTAAAAAAAATATATTAAAAATAATATTTTCATTTATATATATTTATATTATGTTATGATATTATCTAATTCACTTTAAAGTATAAAATAGTAGAAAAAGTTGTAAGATATAGGATTACTCCTTATACGTGTTTCATACACATAAACTATTCTTTACCCCCCAAAAAAAATACACATAAACTATTAAAAATTAAAAGAATTTTTTAACAATAAATTTGGGACATCATTTGTTGTTCTTTTGTTTTTAATAAATTTTTTAACGAGTGTATGTATAAAAAAATGTAAGAAATGGAGATAAATATATAAAATATCTAATATGATGATATTTGACGTTCAAATAATGGAATTTTATTAAAAATGTACTTAATTCACATGCCGGATAAAAGAATGAACTTAAAATATAAATCATAGAAGTAAATGTTTTGAGAAAGTTATTTTTATATGAAACTAATACAGTTACAATTACAAATACATGATCAAAATTAAAGTTATGTAATCACTTAAAAATGATTACGGGTTTTTAAAAAAATTACACAATTTAAATGTTTTTAATCTTAATTATTCATAATACAACCATAGACTTATTTATTATTTTCAGTGTCATTTAAAAATAAAATTTTTACTAGACGTGTGTAGAGAAATAATGTATTAATTTTTAGTGTTAGTATCTATGTTAAGCTATGGTACGTAATTTCTTTATAAATTTTAAATTCAGTTAAACGTGTAAAGACTGGAGTTTGTTTAGAATTTTGTACATGTATGTGGGGCGCCTATCCACCGCCGACAGTTCAGCTAAGTTGCCAACTGCAAAGGGTGACCATCAACATCTAAGTTTCTATAAAAATTTTCTATTTTAATTCTTATCATATTATTTTGTTCGCCTTTACTCTTTATTTTTCATCTTTATAAGGATTATAAGATCAAATTTATAAAATTATGAAATATAAATAATATTTAAAAAATAAAATAAAATATTTTAATTATAAATACTAAAAGATAAATTTCATCAAATTACATGAAAAATTTAACCGATAAATTAAAGAAAAAAGAGTAAATTACTATTTTTCTCTGTAAAAGTGTAACTTATGATTGTATTAATATATGAAATTAAAAACAAATAAGTAAAATTTTAAAAAAATTTATTATTTTATTTAAATCACTTATTATTTATCCTGTCATGGATATTTCATACACTTGATTGAAGATTAATTTCATTTTTAATTTTGTGATTTTTACTAATTCAAAATATTTTTTCAAATAGCGAAAATTATAGAATTTTTCATTAAATAAATAATTTTCATAATATTTCACTTAACTATTATCTGAACTCATCTAATGATGGAAAAGCAACGACTTAGCTCGCTCCCCTAAACTTTTTAATTATAAATTATATATGCATTAATTATTTTTATTTCAGATTTTATGTAAAAATAAATATATTTTAGTTATGTTGTTTCGAAGAAAGAATTCATTCAAGGGGTATAGCTTTATAGTTAGGTATAGTAGATTTGGCAAAAATCCAGAGTAGGTGGCATTTTATAAAATTGAAAAAAAGAAAAAGAGGTACACAATTCCATGGTATAATAACAATGCGTTTAGTGACAACCCATGTCTGCGGGAGACCGATTTAAATAATTTTGGCAACTAAATATCACGGTTCAATAAAGATCAAGGATTCTATTGACGTTGTCCAAAGGTTAAGAGATGAGAATAAAAAATAAAAAATCAAAATCAAAACTCAATTATAAAAATTGAATCGTTTTTGAGGAAAAAAAAAATTGAATCTAATCTCTCTCTGTAAAAACAAAAACGATTCAATTAATCAAATAAAGCAGTTCAATTCGATTTATAAAAAAATAAAAATAAATAAAAAAACTGATCTATACGAATATAAAGTTGATAGAATTACATTAAACTGATTCATTTAAGAAACAATCCGAGTAGTCTATAGAAAAAATCGGATCGATCTGCTATATAAAAAACAATTCATTAAACCAAATCAAATTTATAAAATGATTCGTGAACCACCCTACTAAAGGGAGCTATTGTATTTTTTTTAACCAACTTAAAGCCATGAAGCAGCTCCATATAGTCCATCCGCTATTTTTGTGAAGAACTAAAGAAATACACATTGCCTAGTTGAAACTGATCTATGAATGACTATGATCTAAATCAATCTTTCTTATATATTAAATAATATCTACTCTTCTCATTATTCTTGTTCTTGGTTAAACAAGTCCTGCAGTTTCACGCGGTTCCTCTTCTTACGTATCTTACCGAGACCTAAAATTAAAGTCCTATATTGAATGTCGGTGGAGCTCAACAATGATCCTTCATACTATTTCATTATAGTAATTTAGCTCGCTCTCTGAAGAAGGCACAAAGGTACATTAATATATAATATATTTTGTTATTTCTACACATATCTACCGCATATAATCATGGACTTCTTTTATTTGCTTTCCCTTGTTTACTCAAAATATTATGTGACCATATTAATCTTAATGTTGATCATCACAAAAAAATAAATAAATAAATAAAACCTCAAATAAACTACATGAGAAGCCAGAGTCCTGTACAAAATTTGAGAGGGGGGAGGGTGCTCTCTGTAAAATTGGGGACAGATCAACATAATTTCTCTCAAGTTACATATAAAAGATTGCTCAAATTGACCTATGAAGGCTAATATTTCCAATTTTTCTTTGGGGACTTAACAAACTACTTATTCACAGATAGTGACCAAATAGTCAGAGAGTGGTTATTCATATTGAATAACTTTTGTAACTATTCGGTCCCTAACTGCAAATTAATTAACGGTTCCTATATAGTGTAAGACTCAGTTCTTCCTTTTCCCAGTATTTTATCCAAAAGATAGCCAAATTTATCTCAAGCCACACTAAGACCATCTAATTGGTTCATGTTACCATCAAGTTGATCTCGATAAATCTTCACAAAGGCAGTGACAGTGTCCAATTATAAGAGCTCCAATGAATACCTCCTCAAACAGTGTGCTAGTACGAGCTAATAAAAAATCTTCTGTTGCTGATAGCCACCACTAAAATTATGAAATCAATGAAAATTCCCAGCAAGAATTTCAAAGAGTCAGCACTGCTTATAACTGAAAAGTGCCCAATTCATGACCATGCCTTGTAAGAAGTACTTTCCGCCCCTCAGCCCATTCTAGTCTATAGGACAGATCCAGGTTATGAAGCAATTGTTTCAGACAGTCCCCGTGATTTGAATCCTTCGCATTATCCTACAAAAGGAAATTTAGGTAGCATTATAAACTAGAAGAAATAGATTTACGGCCATAGTAGATGACTTTATGGCCTTGCCCTAATTAAAAATGGTGATAAATAGAAAAGCTTTCATCCCAGATTACCAATCTATTATTCTATTTACCAATTACCATTTGTATTCATGCATTTCAACCAACAATGTATTTTAGCATGCTTTCAACTAACTTAGCGATTGAATTTTCCTGTTAAATACAAATTTATACAACTCATTGCATCTTCCCCTCGGGCATCAGTTTCAGCTGAAGACCACATTTTAGTTTCATTTGCAGGACATAAAATAGTTTGATCTCAGTACAAAAGAAAAAGGATATAAAAAAAAACACCTGGAAGTTCAGCTGCCTGTCAGTTTCCAAAATATTGGCCATTATGCTTGACCTGGATGAATTAGGTGAAAATCCTTCCCAGGGAGGAACAAAGATTAGTTTGGTGCACTGAACAGGAACAAAGTTCCGGCTTAGTTTCTCCCACCAGAAAGATCCCAGTGACCACCATCTAATCAACAGCCCATGTTCAGAAAAAGCAACCAGCCCCTATCAGTGAAAAATGTTCAAAGTGCAGGAGGGAAAGAATTATTAGTTTGAGATGCTTACATTAAGTACCAATCTCAAGGAAAATACGTTAATAGAGAAAAAGAAACAAAATATTTGGCATAAATTGGGAGATGGATAGAACTATAGGGAGGTCTGTGATACAATTGTTATCAGTGGTATCAAATAATCACGAATCCTTTTTTGATTTTACTGAAGGATTGGAACTAAGGCATTTGTCTTACTTGATCATTACTTTGTGAAAGGTTACAAAACAGGAAGTACCAATCTCAAAGCAAATAAATTCATAGAGAGAAAGAAATCAAATATTTGGCATATGGGGAGATGCACAGCACTATAGGGAGGTCTGTTGATGCAATTATTGAGAGTTGTATTGAATAATTAGGAAACCTTTTTTATTTTACCAGAATGACAGGAACTAAAGAATTTGTCTTGCTTGATCATTACTTCCTAAAAGGTTACAAATATCTTTTTTGTCCAGCAGAAAGAGAATGGATGTTCATTTGATCTTGATCCTAGTGGAGTGAAATAAGACTGAACCACACCTGTACAAACTTCCTGATAATCTCCACAAAGGTTTTTAATAAGATTTGGACATGATTATATCTAACTTCTGATGCATGGTACCTGTGTACTCCAATGCGTTTATCCTTTTGAATCAAAATAAACAAGTTTTTGAATCTTTTCTTTTAAATTCAAAGTATATGTAATGTTCCACATAAAACAACAATCTAGCCTTTTCCCACTAGATGATGTCAGCTACATGGATCAAATGATGCTATAATTTTCTGTAATAAAACATGCCTATAGAAAAACCATTGACCTCTATATCCTTCTTAATGGTTTCACCTATAGTTTTTCACAGACTACAACTACATCTAGCAATTTGGCTACTTTTCTAGACCAGGAAATAAAAACAACTACCACCTAATGTTTGAATGAAAATGGCAAATTGGTTAGCTCACTAAGAGAGGGAGAGATATACTGATCTTCACATAGCAATATTCCCTGAACCAATTTATATGTAGGGGGAGAGAGGGAAGAGGAATCTAACTGTTTCATGAGCAATTCTTTAATGAGATCAGTGCCTATAGGCAAATCAATCAAAAGCACAGAATGTATTAAATAATAATTAACTGTGTTGAAATCTGTGTGGAAACTATTTTAATATTATCTTGAGCTTTTGATTGTTTGTAGCCATAGGGACTATGCTCACACAAGATTGCTTTTTCTGGTTCACACAACCGTTTTGGAATTGGAAATGAGCAAAAAGAAACAAAATAGCACTCAGATTTTGGGAAAATACAAGATATGTGGAATAAAGCTTTTCGCCTGGTTTAAATTGGTACGAACAAGCATGATGAACCAACATGGAAAGCAAAGTTAAATATGTTTGGAAGTTGGAACCAAGAATTAGGGATGGGAGATAAAAGACAAATTTATTGAATAGGATGAAAAGAACAAGAAATACGAGAGCAATCTCTCTTCCAAGGGTTTCCCCTTTTACAACAAAGCTACTGCTCTATTCCCGTAAAGACTTACTAATCTGAATTTCTCCCCTCTACCCGGTATCATCTTATTTATAGACATGATGGATTTGGCCCATGATATCCCTCTATTTAGTAACTACTCTAAGTCCCTTTTATCTTAACAAAATCATGAAAATATAGTGAACAAAAATAGGTTGGAACACAAGGAAGACTGTCAGGAAGTTATGTTGTTAGGATTTCTCCTTGCTCTAATGAATAGTCAAAGTATTTCTCATATCTCAAAACTGAATTTACTAATCACATGATCATAGTTGACAACAGTAAAGTAATTAGTATCGTATCATATGGCCTGAAGCTAGTAATAGCCTTTATTTAGGTCACATGTCAGAGTTTATAGTTTGCCTGATGAAATTAAGATTCCGAATAAAAACAAATTTTTATATATCATTATTTGTTTAGCTAAGCCAAAACCTGCCAACTAGATCATATCATGAAACACTAAGTAGTCAAGTCTTTTATCACAATCAGTCAGTAGTCGGTACCTCTCCATCTGGTGAAAAGCTCAGTGCTGAAATTGCAGTAGTCAACATTGTTCCTGATGTTGCTGCTGTGAGCAGAGTTGGAAGTCCTGGAGGGCCACTTGCATCCAAAACCTTTACCATTGTCACACTGCATAAAAAAAATGAAGGCTCTCCATTTTAGGAAACGACTATCTCTTCAGATATCACAGAGTAGAAAAACATGCAAAAAACATTTTGAATCAGATATTTCAAAAAGGGAATCACAGGATGGTGAGCGAGAGTGATTAAAAGAGAGGAAACAAGCTATAAATGCCATGATCATATAAAATGGGAAAGTAGGTCAGGTCCATAATAAATTCTTAATTCAGTCCATCCAATCCTAAAGGTCTTAAAAATTGATCTATATAATCTGTAGCCTACCCATGGTATTAAATGGACATTTTTAGTTGCATTATTTGAAAATGGAAATTAAAACAGCTTTGATGATTTACAAATGTCAGTGAATGTATTTGATCTGGTGATTTTCTCCATCATTTTCTTGATGATATGACCTTGAAGAATAAAATGATCAGTAAATGAAAATTACTAGTCAGTTACTTAGGATACAATTGGGTGGGTGGAACTACGCAGTAAGTATAGAACCACCAAAATCTCCTTTTATCCCCTTAAATATCCCCAGTATTGTTATTCTCTCCCTTGAAAATTTTAATTCTACTTCCATCTTATTTAATTTCTTTGACCTTCCCACCCTGCATACAACATATAAATGACACAAAATCAAGTGTGCTTCTCTCATGTATTTAAGCATTTCAGCCTAAACCCACTCCAATTTAAAAAATTACAGCCAACCCCTGAATCCTAATACCTCTGCATATCATAAACCCTAATGTTTGCGTTGTTAACTTCTCCAATCACATCTCCAACTGCAAGTTTGGTCCATGAATCATTGACAGCAACCATGGGATATACACGTACAACTTCCTTGAAAGTTGTCATTGAACTCTGGAAGCATGCCTTCCGCATGACTGAGTTGCTAGGATCTATAGTCTGTAAAATGAAGCTGACCACCTGCAGATCTGACACACTGTCACAAAAATTCATGCTTTAATGATTCAAAACAAGTAAGCAGTACGAAATTTAAATCTTAAGGGGCAGAGGAAACTACTGGCAGATCCTATGTTGTGCATGATCCAGTACAGACAGATGATAGCCCTTCCCAATAGAGAATCACTATGCTCCCAACCATCAGGAATAGAAAAGAACAGCAATAAAGAATAGGAATTTCATTCTAAGTATGCAAATCCATACAAAATCATATTTAGATCTAAAATAAAGAACCGACAAAGAGGCACTCGGTATCTCTATATATTTATTTAAAAAATAGAGATAATAGAAGTTACATAATGAACCCATTTGTTTAAATTTTTTTAAAGAAAATTGCTTTTTTATTTTAATAAAAATAAGCCGTTTTCTACTTTTTTGATGTGTTTGTCTAAATTGCTTATTTTCAAAATAAGTAATTTTCTGTTTTTTTCAATAAGCAACTCTTATTTACTTCTTAAAAAATTGCTTTTTTATAAATTTTTTTAAGTTTAAACTAGCCCAATAGTAAGTGGTTTGTAATTGGAGGGTAAGTGATTTGGAGTAATTATAGGGGTAAAATAATCCAAAGAGATGTGTACACAAACAATTGATATCCCCATTATTAAATGTAAAGATGTATAGATAACAACAAAGGTTTTTCCCCACTAGTGGTTTTAGTTACATGGACCAAAGGATGTTATAATGTTTTCTTGTAAATCATGTATGTATGCAAATTATTAACCTTCAAGTTTTTCTTAATTGTTTTGACTGTATTTTTTTTTTTTTTGGTCTTCCTCTACCACTGGCAATAAACACATCTGAGATCAAACTATATATATTAAAAAATAAAAATCTTAAAAAATAAAATTCACATTTTAAATAAAGTATTTTATCTCTCTTACCAAATGTTCTTAGGATATATTTCTCTCTAAATCATAATCATTCACCCAAAGGAACTAGACCACAATAAGAAATTCTAATATGCTTAATTTCAAGGATACACATCTAGCAAATGAAAATTGAAAAATAATCAACAAGAAATAAATATAAATGAGCAACTTGAAGCAGATATTGACCCACAAACATGAAGTTAGGTTAAAAAATCAACCTAGAACTAGAAGCAAAAAGACAAATCTATCCGAAACATTGATGAAAATCAGGTAAGTCCTAACCTAGTAACATGTAGCTTTACAAACCTTGTCAAGGTATTGAGCCAAATTCTTCGGAGAACCACGCATGATCCTTATAAGAGTCAACAAGGACACCATGTGGACAGGTGAATCAGATGCAGTAGACCAAATTTGGCTTTCTATCACAGTCAAAAAGCCTGGTATATCAGCCATAGCTAAACTTGGAAGAAGAACCTCCACCAAAGTCTGTTTAATAGAAAAAGATGCTTCTGAAATTTCTGTCACTGACTTGGAAGATGGGCCACTCAACTCTACTTGGAAAAAAATATCCCCAATCAGGCGAGGAATCTCAGAGACTATGCATTCTTTCCATGTACTCTCCATACCCTCTGCAAGGAGCTCAGCAGCAGTGGAGCTGTACTTCTCATTCATAGCCATAGCCAATTTCATTAATGGATGAACAACTAGTGCGGCAAGACTTGACTTCACAAGACTAGGGTACCAGATAGCCAGTGCAGCAGCAACAATAATGTGGGATGTCATTGCATCCTGACTGGTTCCACCAACACAAGAAATCCAATCTTGCACTTCAAATGACTCCAGCCAAGCAAGTATCTTAGATTCCTCATCTTGGGAAATTCCTTGTTTTTCTGCCTTAGGAGATATGCTTTCTTCTGTCATATTTCCTAGATGTTTGTCTCTACTTCCAGTTCGGGAACCCATATTGTGTGACTCAGTGGCTTTTGAATTGCATAGAGGCAGAGGAATAGCATGAGAGGCAGCACAGTGAAATATAGAACGTGCAGCCATACGTACATGTTCACTTTCATCTTGCCAAAAAGCCACCAAGAGCTGTAAAAAGAGGATAGCCTTAAGAACTTGATATCAAGTAATTGGGAAGTTTTTTTATTAACACACGATGCATGAGCATAATCAACTACACAATACACGTAATATGACAAACTACAATACTAATCCAATATTGGAAATGATCCTTTCAGTAATATCATCTTATGGAACTACAAAACAAATAAAAAAATCTTTAGTAAAATGTTATGCTGTAGCAAAGCAAATGGACTACATCGCCAGATTATAAGCTACATCCAACATTCAAGAAACATGGACCAAGCTCCTCTAAAGTGACTTTGTTTCTCATTTGAGAAAGTAAGGATGTATTCACCCTTGACGTTAAAGTGCATCATAATTGTAACCCACAAATATTTTGAAGGCATATACAACCTTACACAGCTCATAAAATAAACTCCCTTTTACAGGAGCTTTTTCCAAGAAACACGTAATGTATGTAAGTTCCAATGGCCAACTGGTTGTTTAGCATTAAAAATTTAAAACCAGTATTTGTGCTCAAAGGGTTTATGAATTAACTGAGGCTTTTCTCCCTGGTTTAACAACCTATTTCCCCCAACTGCCTCTTTTTTATGTTTTAGGGAATATTGTTGCAAAATGATGCAATTTTTATGGGAGGGGGAGAGGAGAGGATTTATGAATTGTGTTACAGCCGGTTGTACCCTCAAAAATACCTAACTGTACCAGCACCTGATACATGTCAACTGTACATACAGAAACCAAAGTCTTTTTCCCACTAGGGTACACATATGATGTTATTTCTGGAATATTCATGCTTCATAGCTGTTGGCATCAAACTTCCACACTCATATCTTGGCTTAAAATAACCTTTTCCTTTCAGTAAATTTCTAAACTATATAATTTTTGGATTTTTGGGCTACCAGCTTTTTTTCTCTTTGAAAAATGAATTCAAGTGATACATATTTCCTAAGATGTGGTGCAGCACTACACCAGAAAAATTGTCTTTCAGGAATTCAAATTGAACAAAAAGCTAAATATATTAACAGACATTGCAAAAGAAATAAAGCATAAGATTCTAAAACAGAAAAATGGCTAAGGCTTGACAGGAATCGAAAAGGAATAGGAAAGAAAGAAATAGAAAGGTAGAAAGAATGATGTTTGTATTCAAAGTGCAGAATACAAGAGGAATAATCCTTTTACAAGGAGCATTCCCTTCTCCCATAGAAAGTCTTAGTTTCAGTTATTTACCAAAAAGATACATTCCTAATACAATTTCCCCAATTTAACTACCTAACCTCCTCACTGTCCCTGAAACCACCTATAAGTAAACTTCTGGCCTACTACTGTTTATTCATTCTGGAACATTCCCTCCAAACCTTATTCTCCTTATTAAGAGTTGGTTCATGCCTAATGCTGCATGATGCATCCCAATTTATAACATATTCTCCACAAGCTCGCAAATAATATAGGGCGTATAAAATCAATTGAGATCAAAATTACAAAATTATAAAAGCACTTTTACATATTACAACCTGTAATGAAGGTGGCTTCACATCTGGAAAATTTTCCAGGAAATTCCGAGTATAAAAGGCTGCTAAAGCACTGCATATGATACTATCAATGATCAGCACATTTTTTTAATTAAGTGCATTTTGAGAAAAGAAATTAAGACTAGTTATTTGAAAAATTAAAGAATTCAGAATTAAAAAGGGAAAACACGTTGTAAAACTGCACAAAAATACCATTACCCAAACAGTAAAAGTCAAATTAGTTAGGGGGCAGAAAGTAAATGCATAAGATAACAGTGAACAACAGGAGAGAAACTTCATCATGAGAACCTGACATTGAAAGCCTACTACTATTTAGCCAAAATGCACTAAATATTTTTTATTAGAAGATTCATAAAAATATCAAACTTAACTGTCTCATTAACCAACTGAACAGATAACTGAATGCAGGATTCAAAATATCTCGGAGGGGGCAAGCTAATCTGGGCATTTTTATCTTTTTATTATTTTTATTGTTCTTCGTCATTTTTTATTTATGAAATTATATTTATATGTTGCAAGACTATGTTAGGTGTCAAATAATACCAAGAATCCACCTGCAAAACATAAAGAAACTAAGCACTAGATCCATAACACAGACCTGTAACAATATAGGTAAAACAATGGATATTCCCAGTTTGTGAAGAACCTCAAATAGGATTTAAAGCTTAAATTTAATGTGTCTTTCACATATAAGTTTAGTTTAGAAGAAAAAAGGGTTTCCTCCGAAGGAAAAAATTAACAAACATGTGATAAGATTTTCATTTAAAAGCAAAGAAAATGTGGAAGTACAAAAACCTGATTTTCTATTGCTTTTAATATAATTGCCACTATACCTGCTGGCTGCTGA